TCTCCTCTCTCAAAAAGAGTACAAGCAAACCCTAAAGGCTTCCTCCATATGAACGAACTCAAACGTTGCCTTGTTTTGGTACATTAACTTTCGAACCGAAGCGCTACTTTGCGTATGCTTCCGAAACTGTCCGAAGCTTTGCAAAAGGGTACTTCCGCATATGAAAATTAAGAATATTTTGCAAAACTTAATTTCAATATTCAGGTGTAAAGCTTTTGTATATATCCCAAACTTATAAAACGTATAATGATCAAATATAGGGTTAATAATCAAATCAATGAATATCATTGACATTAAGGAGTATCATGTAACACTATTTTCCTCTTGGGTTACCTAATGATTTTGTTAGATACTGGAGATCTAAATGAACAAATAGAAACTAGACACTAAGTTTGAAATGTTCATCGTGTGTCTTTTGTTCGCAAATCCAAGCTGACAATCTTATCCACTTAATCTTGACGTCATTATTCCATATCACTGCCATGTCTCCAGGGGTCGGTCGTTCATCATGCTCATGATTGATCTCCTTCTTAGAAATTGTCTAATGCAAGATTAGAATAGAAATATTATATTTAAAAGTACACTGCTGTCGTTATTTCTAGAAACTAATGTGCAGTCTAAAGCTAGGTAAGGTGTGTCCGATTCCAGCCAATCCGAACACAGTACTAGATTCTAGTATTTCATATAACTGTGGTGCATTATATTATAAAGTAAGAAGTGTCAATTTGTAAAAAATATGACTTGCCAACCTGCCATCACTTTTTCAAATGTGAGAGAGAATATTGAATTTCATATTCTGTGATTTCGCGCAGAGGTCTGATTTCCCAAATCAATAAAAATAAAAGAATACTAGACCTATTCTTGGACACGGTGTACGTGAGAATACATAAGATCGCGGGACACCTTCAATTAAAGATTTATAAACAATGTGTCGTGACAATTTGCAACACTTTATGTAGATAATAAAACCAGAATGCTTTGCCAGCCTTGTCATTAATGCCAACAAGCCATAAACGTCGACAAATCAGCTGCATATTAGAGAGTAGAAAAAACATCAGTGCAGGAAACGTTCTTCAAGATATAAAAAATATTAAGGGTACAATTGACCTGCTCTCCAAACCAAGACTTTAATCAAGTGATATCTTAGATTGAATCTTCGAGAATCCAAGAATCGAATCTTCTGTCGGAGTACAACATTCCACAATTTGATGATTGCGAATCCACTCGACCGAAATAACATTTATTCTAACTAAACGTTACATTTACTCCGATTGCTTTTCTCTTCCCTAAATAATAGAATAGGTTTATCTAATAAAAGAAACGCCAATCCGTTACACTTCAAGTTTAATACACACCATTTCCTCTATCTTTATATCTTGGGCTATATCTAGAAATTGAACAATTGCAATGATTCGATGATATAAGTACCGATGCTGCTAAGGGATTACTTTTAACAATGGATTGTACACGCAGGGTAATAAATAACGCCATATATGGAAGTTTAGTTTCATTGCTTTGATCCATAGTCAGAATCTTGACTTCGTCATACTCCCTTGTTACCAATACAGAACGATTCTAAATGTCGTAAGATGCTAATCAATTGCCATAAAAACGATGTTGCGTAAGGGTGAGGGAGGGCCACTTAGTTTGCTTGGCGTAAATTATTATCTCTCGTAACAGTAAAAAAGGTAGTTATATAACATTAATCGGATAAGGCCCTTGTGTTTCAATGTCATACGAAGGACCGGATAGATTGTATGTTGAATAAAACATCACATACGCGGATCAATTTATCATCACATTTGCCCATTAAAGTGGTAATTTCAGTTTAGCTTGAAACAAATTAATAAAATATATAGCATGTTGAAGTGTATCAGCTCAAAATGATTTGATTTACTGGATTAAACTTCTGTCGATCTCTTATTAATATAAGCTATTTTTACGTCTTTACGGTTTTTACATATGTATAATAGTATATTACGGGATACGATGGCGATTTTTATGCATACGTTTTGAAGGGGTGGGGTGTCAGACCAAGACTTTAATATAAATCTATTTATTGATACGCTCCCTGGACAATTTCTCGAAATATATCGACGTTCGGTTAAGAAACCTTTACAAACAGAATTTAGATTAGTGCCATCGTGTAGATCCACGCAAAATCCTAGTCAATTGCAGCTACACATAGTGATTTGATATAAAAAATGACATCTACTGTATTATTACACGCAACCAACCTATTCTCCCATGTGATTATTAGAAGATGTTTTATATGAAACACATACATTATTGTTATAGTCACTTTATACTATAAATAGCCGATTGTTTGTAATAATATAACAATGAAGTGGAATTTTGAGTGGCTGTTAAATTGAATCATTTAAGATGTAACGAAGGTGTGAAACGTTAGGCTTAGAAGGCGGAACATAGCGGACCACTGGGTCCCGAACCTCACACTGTAGATCATTTTTTACCAATTGTTTACGCGACAAATTAATTATCTAGAATTTCTATAAATATACACATGCTGATATTCTAATAGATATGTGATGTGAGGGTGGGGGGACAAGGAGAACAATCTTTGTGAAAATGTTTATATCTTGTCAGTCAATGAACTCAGAGATGGGTATTTTGCTTGATAAAAAGTTTTCTTTCTTGAAGGTCTTTGGTTCCCCCAAGACTTAAAGGCCATCCCTAATAAGTGGTACTTTCGATGCATCATTTCATACGTATCCACAATTAAAATGATCCTCATTGTGAACAAAAAACAAGTTTCTTCTTTCAGCAAGCAAATGAGGAAAATAGTTAACCCTCATTCGATGAGTCATTAAAAAGTATGAGCTAGCATATGAGATGCAACATCACTGATTTGGTCGTTGAATTATTATACCAACGTGTACATTGAGCCATAGATGTTTGTTTCAACACTTAAATGCGCTAAAATAATGTGTTTTTCATTCTGCTTATTTGTATCATATTTGACCAATGTAGCACCACGAACGATTCCGGAGATTGTCGATTATTCACGAATAGATCTTCTCAGACAAAAACCAAGGGCATTGAAATGTCAAGATATACCACGAGTCAATGCTTTGCAATTATAAAAACATGCTATCAACTCCATTGAGAGTATATCGAATCTGAGACTCAGATCGAGTGAAGTAAAAATAGTGTTGACTTATTTTTTAACAAGGAATCACACTTGCTCACGTGACCTTTGTTCTCCACGACAGAGTGTCTCACTAAAAATGTTACAAGTACAAAATGGTCAATATCTTTTATAATTTTGGCAGTTGACCTAAAATATGAATTAATGGATTCTTAAAGAGCAAGCTCTCTCGATTAAGTTGACAGTAGATTTAAGTCTGTCTAGCTGACCTTTTTTCAGTCAGAGGACTCAAATACCTTTTTCTGTTTTAGTTAACATAGTGAGCCCGATGATATAAATTATAGATTTAATAAAAAAGGAAGTTAAACCGGATTTTAATGAGCCAAATATAAGAAACACATGCTTCATATTCTTGCCAACATGGACAGTTCCCTTTAAACGTTTTCACGTTGAACTGAGATGGTCACTGTCAAAAGTAGTTGCAATGCATATGCATTCATTCGTAACTTAGGCTTCTATTATATAGACCTATACATTTTCCGTCATTCGTCGACCATTCTGTCATCATAAAACACTGGGTTAATTGCTAATAGCAATGAAATTGATTTAGAGTAGTAGAAAGCGAGTAGATTTATTCAAAAGTAATTTCATAAATATCGACTTGTGTTTCATAAATAGCAAAGAGTAAAACTATTAACGATTTTATTCATCGAATGGTCGTTGAACCTTCCAAGGCAGGAACTAAGAAGTAAACTCCCTGATCGGTGATGACACGGGTGTCTCTTGTGCCTCTTTTCTCCAGAAGTCTGCAAGTGTCTGAGTGTTGGCAGCAATTATCAAACCTTCTATGCTTAATTTATTCACCAATTTGCTTCACCAAAATGGATTGTTCTTTTAAATTAAATTTTGTTAAATAACCTTGCGACTTATAATGTTAAACAAAGTCGCCTTTTTGGAAATTTTCTTTTTACATACATTATTGTATTGAATAAAACATGATGAATAAAAAAGAAATGACACGGGTGTCATTATCATGTTATTCAACTTTGATTTCATAGAGCCACTTCATAACTAGTTCAATGTCTCTGTTGAACCCTCTTGTAATTGATCAAGCGTGACATTAATGAACTTTCTCAAAGTTAGCCGATGTATAACGTGTATATGGCGCTGGTGTATCTAAAAGAAACATACATGGTCATTTGAATCATTCATTCGTTCATACATATATTAACTTATTCCCTTAGAAATTGTCACTTAAGATGAATTAATTGAAATACGTTATGGTTATATTTTGAGGCATGATCTTAAACATAGCTCACGTTCATCCCAGGGAAGCATGAATGGTTCCTCACCGAAACTAGAACTTACTACAAACACTACTACCTTCAAGATATACACTTGAGTAAAGAGCAGAAAGAGGCTTCGCTTTAAAACAGAAAATTAAACTTAATTTGCTCTCGGGTTGTGATACGATGCTTCGTTTGAAAAACACCACCCTTGGTTTTTATTATTCTTGCAAGGTTTATCATATCTAAGCAGTTGCCTTTGCTTGTCGTGTCAGAAATAATTTCAAATCCGAGCCATTGATATGACACTTTTCTTAGTTGTGGATGATTTAAAGCGTTATTTTCTTGCGTGCTAGGCTTAAATCGGCCTACTGCGTAAAACAATATCAAAAGCTATTGTCAAGTTGGGGCTTGTCATGCTTCGGACGTGCCTTTTGACACTTTCAAATGTGTTATCAAATTCAACTGGTTCTTTTAAATTACAGGGTGACCCAAACATAATGAGAAGATACTTAACTGAATAAAACAGGAATAATTGGTAACATCTAGAATCTTAAATAATCTAAAATATTATGTAATACACTGTCTCTTTTCGTGTGTTTCAGGTCTACCCCCCGAGCTCTACTCCATATGGGAGGCGTACCCATACGTATTCGGAGAACCCTTCTGCATCTTTAAGACATTCGTGAGCGAGACAACATCTTATGCATCAATATTGACTATTACAGCATTTACCATAGAAAGATACATCGCCATATGCCACCCAATTCGCTCACATACGATGTCTAATCTCCCACGGGTGGTGCGGATCATCGTCATACTATGGGGCATCGCGTGCGTATTCGCGCTCCCCTATGCGATACATACCAGGACGTTCTATTTTCTTGCGATACCCGGGACGGCGACCGATACTTATTTCGGGGTTCCCATTCAGAGTTCACTGCAGTGCAATATTCTACCCGTTTGGATCTCTAGAATAAAATACATGTTTCAAATAACAACATTTTTATTCTTCTTTGCTCCAATGACTCTGATTTCTATCTTGTACATACTAATTGGGATTCAATTGAGAAAATCTGGAAAACGTCTAGGGCAGCGAAAAAACGAATCGTTCAATTCAAATTGCGGAAAGGCACAGAAGCAATCAAGGAGAACCGTTTTGAAAATGTTGGGTAAGTTAAACATATGGAGACCAAACGAGCGGTAGACATGGCCTATATAGATTTGTATAAATCACACTGCGCATTAATATATCAGTTCGTAAAACCGAGTGCCTAATGGGGCACATCAATGTGCAGTTAAAGCATGATTGATTTCAATTCGCCTTGTTTTACTGATATACTGTCAAATAAACGTCTTATTATCTAATGCTGGCAAAGCATATACAGCGTCTTATCACCCCCTATTAAAGGGAAATGTATTTTATCCTCAATACCACTCAGCTCGCAAATAGATAATTCAATCAAGCTTTCATAGTCTTCCATGTTGTCGAGATAATCATATTAGCACTTCACTAATATGTAGATATCTTCATAGGGCATTTAAGATGTCCAGATTGTGTACCACAATCCTGGTGTCAGACTGTCTTGATGTTCCTGAAATAATATAACCAATGGGTTTTATTTCGTGATATCGACGACATATGCCTTATAATGAAGATTAACTTTCAGACCGTTTTCTCTTAACATCTTGAATGACTTCTCTTTGGTGTTGCGGATTATCAATCAGCCATTTGAAATGTTATGAATATTTTTACGTAGTATTACCTTGCGTTCTTCATCTTAAGTAGACAGACAAGAAATATTTTGGGACGTGTTATTTCATTAAGTCATATTTCGGATCTATGTTCACAAGCTTAGGTGTCTCCTTCTTGACCTACATTGACATACATCGAGTGATTTATATAGAATTTCACAATGTTGAATAAACAGTTTAAAAACGAATAATCAATAAAAAAATCTAGCCCTTTATTACGTCTTTTAGTTAATATGAAGTTGATGTAGAAATAAGGATCTGACGAAAGTAAACTTTCGTAGTCTTTTATGGGAGTTTGACTGTGAAATGAATGTTAGCTTATTATACTAATATAGACAAAAACTATAGAATCATTTTCTGATTTTGATCATTTTCCTGATTCGACACTTAGTTATTACAAACATTTAGCTCATTTACACCCCAGTTACATTTGTCGTACGGCGGCCGTACGCCGACCGCAGATCAATTAAATCAGTGAATTTATGTGGCGAGCTTACACTCCAGTCACATTTGTCGTACGGTGGCCGTAAGTCGACCGCAGATCTATTAAATCAGTGAATTTATGCGGCGAGCTTACACCCCAGTCACATTTGTCGTACGGCGGCCGTAAGTCGACCGCAGCTCGATTAAATCAGTGGATTACTGCGGCGAGTGTAGGAAAACTACGGTCGCCTTGCGGTTTCCGTACGGCGTATCCAGTTTTTTACAGGCCGCAGGGTAGTCGTAGAAATTATAAGTCGGAGTTATAATATTTGTTCATTTCTGCGGTCGTCCCCGTAGAAATCAACAGGCCATTCCAGATTGTAGAACGGTCCCATGGTAGACGCACGTCGGGATTACGTTGACTTGCGTCTGCCGTATCGTTTTGATGGGTTATGTACATTCGGTAAACAATTTTTCAGTTGCTGTCATATCTTTGCTGTGAACACAAAGCGATAGGTATTACTGTTTGATGTAAGGTCACTGATCACAGCAACCTTTATTACAAAAGATTTAAACTCCAAGTCACATTTCCTACGGCGACCTTGCGGTCTATCATTTCTGCGGCCAGTAACATTTCTACGCTCGCCGTGGAATTTCGGCGCTCTCATACTTTTGCAGTCACATTTCCCACGGCAGCCGCACAGTGAATTTTAAATTTCTGTTGATAAATAATACTTTTTTCATTTAATTTACATCGGGACAATTTATAAATGTTATTCATAGTGCTAGGATGTAATATCAAATGAAAAGTGATCATGAAACATTGACAAATAATGATTCAATCTTGTTGAGCCAGTTGATTTCTACGGGGACCTCAGAAATGAACAAATATTATAACTCCGATTTATAATTTCTACGGCGACTCTGCGGCCTGTAAAAAACTGGATACGCCGTACGGAGGCCGCAAGGCGAGCGTAGTTTTCCTACGCTCGCCGCAGAAATACATTGATTTGCGGTCGACGCACGGCCTCCGTACGACAAATGTGACTGGGGTGTAAGTTACTGTTGGTCAGTGTATCACAAACACTTTTTATGTGATGTATATCCTAGCACTATAAATATTATTTATAAATTGTACTGATTTAATAGAAAATTACATTAACGTCTATCAATAGAAATTCAAAATTCGCCGTGCGGCGCGGCTGCCGTGGGAAATGTGACTGCAAACGTATCCGACCGCAGAAATTCTACGGCGATCGTAGAATGTTACTGACCGCAGAACGAGATGTCATCGCCTAATTTGATCAACGTCTAAGAGCAGGTCGTCTTTAAAGAAAGTTCACTTTTTAACATAAATCATTTCAGTTATCATGGAAAAACGATCATTCCATTTCAGGACATTTGCACCTTTTCAATCACTCCGTATTGCATCATAATAGGCTTCCGACAAATTCCGTGAAAAACATTGTGTGTGTTGCTTCCTTTTCTCTTCGAATAAGTAGCTGATTAAGGTTTGTGTGAATATCTTGAAACTTCTAGCGACTTGCTCCTAGATGATGACCAATTTCGGCAATCACATACCATGTTAAAACGTATGTACTGTAATGTAATGTAATGTAAATGTAACACAAGGGATGATAGTACTCTGGATCGGAATTTGTTTTTATGAGAGGCCATCATGAAAAAAAACATAAAACATTTTGATAAATATTCATGCAAAGACCTTGACCCGAGTGCCCTGAGGGTCAGAGCCTAGATCATGGAGAAGAAAATTATAATTGGAAAGGGCCAGACGGTTAGACCGAGACATTAAGCCTCGATTAGCTCTAAATGTAGGCACGGTCCTGGATACAGGTTAATCCTATTGTATTTCAGCTCACATCGACCCAGAGTAGATTCCCAAATGGATTAATAATATGCATTGTTAAGTTGCTTAGTCTACATAAAGATATTTATTTTGCATCTTCTCCTTGATATATGTTTAGCTATTAGCAGTTAACATTATTATTAATTCTGCATGACCATAAATTACACCTGGCTTTTCTTTATCTCTTCTTGCTCCACTCTACTTCTTTCCTGACTGCATCTCTCAGAGAAGTTTATATTAACAACTGCACGACTTGGTATGTAGACATGATTTATTTGAGCTGAATTTTTTTATTATTGCTTTATCTGTGGTAGGTATTCTTTTTAACACAATAACTCATTTATTTCACGACGCTGTTGTTTATACTATTGTAGCATGTACGGAGGAGCAAAATGGGGACAAAGTCGATGATGTTCGTTCAAAGGATGGACATACGAGGCTGACCTTACAACATTCGGGAGATAAAAACGATGTGCACATTTTGCATATGTACTTAGGCATGTATACCCTGCACTTTATCATCAATAAGGTTTGGAGTTACAGGCCCATTATCTCTCACTCTCCCTTGATTTTTCCCAAATCTCTCTGATTTTGTTTAATTCTTTCATTGATCTCTATATCTCTTTGCACCGAAACCACGTTTGAATATTCTTTAATATAATGCGCTGAAAGTACAGTATGCTTTTTGTGTTGTTTTCTTAATTTGTCTTTTCAAATAATGTGCCCATCTTATTAATCCGTCTTTATATGCAGAGGTTTGGGTCCATTTCGATCCTATATTTCCTTGTGAGTTTGTCTCTTTCGCCTAACTTATATTGTGAGCTTTTGTCAGGTTTCTCTTTGCCCACAATATCTCTAATCCTGCAGTAACCCCTCCACCATACCATCATTATATCTAAGTAACTTCTATTTGGCAATTAACTTAACCAGATGACTTATCAAGTGAATCTTGTTTTAATATATCTTCAATCAGTTCGTGATCTAATTAAGATATTCTCTTACGTTTGTGGAAATTAATTCTTACTGCGTCTGTAGCTTGCATCTGTCTACCTGCTTAGTTTGATATGTTTGAATCTTCACGTTCTATTTTAGGATACTTCAACTCAAGATCTGTTTTTTATTTCAAATGACAAGAGCTCGACGGTGAATTTATTTTTAGTTCTCGAGATCCGGCATACTGTTTTCCATTAAGATGATGTCAAGAAAGGAATGAAGCTGTTTTATATTTTGTTCTTCTTTCCAAGCTTTTACTCCAGGCTCTTGTTTTGCATTCCTATTTCTAATAAAACCCTAAATCTTATTTTGTCCTTAGAATCTATTTCACCGGTTGATCGATCCTGTGAATGATATTCCTTTGAAGATACAGTTCGATGTACAACACACATTTCTTTTACACGGTTTATGAAACACAATTCGAACATGACTGTATTCACGCCTTCTATAAACTGTAAACAAAGTCAATGCTTCAGCTGGGTTATATTCGAGATCAATAACCCAGCTAATACGTGTAATGTGTGACGTCATAACGATTGGTCGTAGTAATGGCGGACCATGATGAATATTCGAAACAATTTGGTGAGTTTTCATGTTCGAATCGTAATATAGACCTCAGATCAGGGGTAATATCGTCGAATACACCCCTTGGGGCTAGGCACAAAAGCTTTCGAACCCCGGTCGTTCGTGGTACAGAAAACGTTTGTGCCTAGCCCTGCGGGTTGTATTCGACGATATAACCCCTGCTTTTCGGTCTATATTTCTTAAATCATACGTAAAATCTGATTTTTCAGTTGCTGTAGTTGTGGCGTTCTTCGTATGTTGGGCGCCATTTCACGCCCAGAGATTGATGACGACATACGTAGATGTGTGGACGCCTAAATTGATAGATGCGCAAAGTACACTTTTCTATATATCAGGTAACAACTGAATATATCGAATATATCATATGATCTAATGTAATGGTAAACTCAATGGACATAAAGAGAAGCTACTTGTCATGCTCAATCTTTTTGTTGATGCTGTTTAAGGAAATCAAACCATGTACCCAATGTTGATTGAAATCATTGAACTCCAGTGACTAATTTATTGTAAATATTCTTCAGGTGTTCTGTACTTCGTTAGCTCTACAGTTAATCCAATACTATACAACCTTATGTCCAAAAAATATCGGCAAGCGTTCAGAGATACCCTTTGTAAATGCTTCATTTCTCGAAACCAGAGGGCGATAAGCAGACTGGAACGAACTGGGACGTATTTCGCGTCAAACAACAGAGAGAGCGAATACGTTCGAAGGGAAGGTGGGGGAAGTAATAATGGAAATACCCCACGCCTAACCAGGCTCTACTCGAACGATACGGATGATCCACCTAACGTCCCACCAACGACAACATTCGTAAACTATAGCGCTATTAATGGGCAATCTCCGCAAACACTTCCACTTAATAGTGATCATAGGCAAAACGATTATAGTCCTTGGAGTGAAACTATAGGTATGGCCACTCATAAGCAGAATGGTGCCAAGATTCAGCTTGTAACTGCACCTGATGGCAAACCTAAATACAACGGGACATTTGTGTAAACACGGTAACGAAGTGGAGCAGTACATATACATATTATGATAATATAAGTTAATGTAAAGATGGCAGCAGCTTAGCACTTGTTTTGTACTTGACAAGAATTAACGTTCATACACTGCCTTTGTGGAAAGAGTCTTCAACCTACAACTGCATGGACTTAATATACTTATATAGGATCCTGAATACATTCGGCATCCTTGAAATCACACATTTTAAGGATTTAAGCCCTAGAATCAGTGAAATGTGGAATGACCATTCCTTAAATTTGCACGAGATGTGCCAGCATCGAATGTTAATTTTTAGGAAACAACACCGGATGAAAGGAATGGTCATTCCACAATGCATTGAAAATATTTTCAACAACAAGAAACAAAATTACCAAAAATAACGTATTTTCAGTGAAACTTTAATTCTGCTCTTTGACATAAAATACAATAGGGTGAGGGAGCGAATAAGGCAATCAGGCTGGGGGGGATGGTCGGTATAAAATCAGGAGAATAATCACCATAGTGATTTTGGGGAAGTTTAAGATCTTTAGAGTAAGGAAATATGTGATAGCATTGCCACAGTGGTAGCTAAATGGGTGTTATCACCCATTTTTCAAAATGGCCGCATTAAGTAACGTATAACAATATTATAAGAGTGTGTATATCTATGCAGATTGAGATGCAAAAATATTTTAGGATCTATGTCCAGGTTTTAAGAGTCAAGGATTTCATTTTTGTCTAAATCTGAGTCTCCAAATAATTACTTTTTACAGCTAGAAATCCAAGACGGCTGCCAAAATGGGTGCCAAAACGAATATATAACTATTGATTTAAGCTCACAACACTTAAGAATAGTGATTTTGGAGCCCATTTTTACATTTTAGGGGCCAATTATTTCATCTATGTCTGAATCTAAGTCATCAAATAATTAATTTTCATAGAAATCCAAGATGGTCACCAAAATGGGTGCCAAAATGAATATGTAAGTATTGATTTAAGTTGAAAAAAACACTTAAAGTGTGCGCCAAAGTTTAAAACTGCGCAGGCGCACCGCTCTCGCTAAACTATATAAAGAGATTACCGGGTACACGATTCAGAAGTAAGCCAGGAAGGCGAACGATCTTCGTCTCGTGATGATTTCCCAAATAATCGTAACCAGGGAAGTCTCACCATTGAAATTAAAAATTACTATTAGATATACTTTGTAGATGTTATTTATGAAGCTATTTAGTGTTTGCATCAATCAAATGGCTCATTTTGAACATATAAAAAGTATTTGTGTTTTGTTTCCCAGGGAATTGTATTGTATGTATGTAGTACACACATAAATAGTGTACATTATACAGTACTTGAATAGCCTGGTTTACATAATATTGAAGGGCATGCTGATTACATGCACACGAGTACATGAATGAAGGCCTAATATTGATATACGTAGCTTGCATACCTAAATAAAAAATAAACTCTTCTAATCCCCTAATGTAAACACGGCGGTATACGTAGCCCGATTTATCGGGGACTTTAAGAACAGTGATTTTGGAGCTCATGTCTACGTTTAAGGGGTCAAAAATTCCATTTATGTTTAAATCTGAGTTATCAAATAATTACTTTTTTTAGAAATTTAAGATGGCCACAAAAATGGGTGCAAAAATGAATATGTAATTATTGATTTAAGTTAAAAAACACTTAAGAACAGTGAATTTGGAGCTCATGTCTACGTTTATGGGGTCAAGGGTTACATTTATGTCTTAATCAGAGTCATCAAATAATTACTTTCTATAGATGGCCACCAAAATGGATGCCAAAATAGATATGCACGTATTATTATATTGATTAAAGCTCAAAGAACAGTTAAGAACAGTGATTTTTGAGACCAAGTCTATTTTGTAGGGGCCAAGGATTTCATTTATGTGTAAATCTAAGTTATCAATTAATTACTTTTTATATAAATCCAAGATGGCCGTTAAAATGAGTGCCAAAACAAATTATGTAACTATTGATAGAACAGTTAAGAGACAATGCCTAGGTTTAATGGGGTACACTGCCAATCTCAAACAGCGGTGTTTATGAAACAGTGCTGGACAGCGCTGTATAAACAGTACTGTACATCGGTGTTTTAAAAAACAGTACTGTACAGCGCTGTAAAAACAGTACTCTACTACGCTGTTCAAGACAGGTGATGCTAGAATAGCATTATACATCGATGATGCATTATAAATCTCTAAACTTAGAGAGGAGTTAGAACATTATTTTTGAATATCATTTCTAGTTTGTAGGGTCAATGATTTTAATTTTGTCTTAAATACATTCATTGAATAATTTATTTATATGGATGTCCTAATGGCTGCAAAAAATTACTGCCAAAATTAAAAATTAATGTAACCATTGATTTAAGCACGCAGATCATTGAGAACCATAATGCTGCAGCATAAATGCATATCAGTCGTACACTCTTGATTCTGATGATTTTTTTCAGCAAAATCGGATAACGTTAAAACTGGTCCGTCGGCCATTCTTTCCGTCCCATTGGATTACATTGTGGGCGACGCCCACTTTTCAATGGAAAACATTATTTTGCACTTCTTTGCTTATCATTTGCCGGAAATGATTGGAAAATGTTTCCTGTTATAAGCATTTGGATATACATCAAAACACTTTCGATTGATGCAAACTAGATTGTTCTAGCACTTTTTGTCGCTGAGATATTCCCAGTCTACTAACCTGTTGTCTACTGGGGGAGGGGGTCAAAAATAAAAATTGATTTCGGCCACTTCACTCCACTTTTCCAATTCTTAAAAGATATTTTGTCATATTATGATAAAAAAAATTCTAAAATATTCAAATTGTTAACAGAAAAAAAAACATTCGTGAATTTAACTGCCCGATATATGCATTTTTTATTTGTTTGACCCCTGGACCAGTAGATCTGCACTATCTTTGCGATAAAAAGTGCTAGGACAGTCTAGTTAACATCAATTGAAAGTGTTTTGATGTATTCTCAAATGCTTATATCAGAAAAATTGGTTCTAACCATTTCCGGTAAATGAGCATACAAAGAAGTGCGAAAAATTGTTTTCCATTGAAAAGTGGGCGTCGCCCACAATGTAATCCAATGGGACGGAAAGAATGGCAGACGGACCAGTTTTAACGTTATCCGATTTTGTTGAAAAAAAATCAGTGAACTACCAGCACCATTTGTAACCCCGTGTTAAAGGGTAATGTACACTGTATTTTAGCTCTTTAGCAATACAATGAAAAGGATCATGGTTTTTCACTTTGGCTGTTTCAACTTGTTTCAATCTATCCTATCGTGATTTTGAAGACTGATTATAATTTTCATCTTCATCAATTTTTTTTGGTGAATCATACTTGTGTTTGGGGAAAATCACATATTCACTTCAGCAGCAATTTAATGGCGGCTATCTTGGATGTCCAAATAGAGGAATGATTTTCAGTTTTGGACATAATTGAAATCCTGGAACCTTAAAATCTGTTCTTTGAGCTCGGCCTATCAATAGTTACATATTCGTTCTGGCACCCATTTTGGCAACCACATAGGATTTCTATGAAAAGAAATTATTTGATGACTCAGATTTAGACATAAATGAAATCATTGATGCCTAAAACCCAGACATGGTCTCCAAAATCACTGTTGTTAACTGTTCTTTGAGCTTAAATTGATATTTACATATTCGTTTTGCTACCCATTTTGGTGGCCATCTTGGATTTCTATAAACATTTATTATTTGATGACCATGATTTAGATATAAATGAAATCCTTGACCCCTAAAATGTACACATGGGCTCCAAAATCACTGTTCTTAAGAGTTTTTTTAGCTTAAATCAGTAGTTACATATTCGTTTATGAACCCATTTTGGCAGCCATCTTGGATTTCTCCAAAAAGTAATTATTTGATGACTCAGAGTTAAACAAAAATGGAATCATTGACCCCTAAAACCTAAACATAGATCCTAAAATCACAGTTTTTGCATCTCAGTGTGCTTAGATATACCCACTTTTATATTGTAACTCGTGCACCAGCGACCATTTTGAAAAATGGGTGATAACACCCATTTAGCTACCACTCTTGCAATGCTATCACATATTTTCTTACTCTAAAGGTCTTAACCTTCCCAAAAATCACTTTGGTGATTATTCCCCTAACTTGATACAGATAACCGAAATTTTGAGGTGAAGCTGATGAACTAGCAAACAACAAGACATCTTGCAATTGTTGTTAGAAACGACCTTGTACGAGTTGTTGAGTAGTAACCGAATGCAGGTTACATTAAATAGCGTGTTCTGATTGGCCGGAATTGGACACACATTGCCTTATTGTCTAAAGGTGAAAATAACATCTAACACATTACAATCAGTAATACAACCATGGCTCTAAAAGTCAATGGGTACATTTTCTCTCATTGAAAGACATGAGCATAGCCGCCGATAAACAAATGATGAAAGAAGCATAAAGGGGACAATTTCTAGAAAATGACAATTAAAATATACTAATACAATACACTTTTCATCAACCTCATAAAGTCCCTGGAAGGGCTCATACATCTATAACTATCGATTATAATTTCACATTTTCTTATTTATAATTTCATAAGTACAGGAATAATCCTAAAATTCAACCCTCTTATTTTGGATTATCTTTCTCATATATTAAAAAATTAAAGGGTTGCATTTTGGGTCACCCTGTACATTCCGAGCATTTTGAATCATTGCTTCAAATAGTATAGATGTAAATATTGAGACGTCAAAAATAGAAAGTACATGTTAAAGGCTGGGAAATGTTTTCTATGTCAAAACCTGTATATGATATTGTATGGAGCTTGGTACATATATTGTTAATAAAGAGACATCTGTATTATGTAAATGAAGTTTGGATTTACATGTACATAAAATATTAAGCTGTACATTCAAAATGGTACTCCTTGAATTGCCATTGCCGATGCCATCTTTGTAATGATAAAGGTTTACTTACAATAAATTGTTTCTGTTGATGTACTTCAAAATGGTACTCCTTGCCATTGCCGATATCATCTTTGTAATGATAAAGGTTTACTTACAATAAATTGTTTCTGTTGATGTACTTTAAAATGGTACTCCTTGCCATTGCCGATATCATCTTTGTAATGATAAAGGTTTACTTACAATAAATTGTTTCTGTTGATGTACTTCAAAATGGTACTCTTTGCCATAGCCGATGTCATCTTTGTAATGATAAAGGTTTACTTACAATAAATTGTTTCTGTTGATGTACTTCAAAATGGTACTCTTTGCCATTGCCGATGTCATCTTTGTAATGATAAAGGTTTACCTACAATACATTGTTTCTGTTGATGTACTTCAAAATGGTACTCCTTGCCATTGCCGATGCCATCTTTGTAATGATAAAGGTTTACTTACAATAAATTGTTTCTGTTGATGTAGTTCAAAATGGTACTCCTTGCCATTACCGATGCCATCTTTGTAATGATAAAGGTTTACTTACAATAAATTGTT